GTCCCCGTTTTATGGATGAAGGAACTGAATATAAAACGAAATAGGAATCTGCAGTAAGGTTCAAGTGAAGTGCATCCTTCTAGACAAGAGATTTTTAGGACAACTCTCTAAATAACAGCTTCAATCTACCCTCAATATCTCACACGTCTAGACATCGCAGATACAAATGGGCTCTATCTTGTCTATCTTGTTCTTCTTTTCTTCCACACGAACTCTAAAATAACCTGAGGCCAATATCCAGAGTGAAAAAGTCTACCTCCAAAGAAGAAATTAGGTGGTGCCTACTTTTCAAAAGGATGTTTTATTTAATCATTAGACACTTCCTGGGTCATGTACCCTTGGTATATTCGAGAAAGAAGTCTCTATGTACAATTTATACCTAACGTTTTAAAAACCAATTTGTTTTACACAAAGTAGATGACCGAGTAAATGTTTAAGCGATGCTTTGAAAATATTAACAAGTTGCGCAACAGTCTAAGCTGTTTAAACAAGGCATCTTTCTGTTCTTTAAACGGGGGACACAGCGAAACCCCAACGTGGTGGCAAGGTCTTAAGATTTTTTTCTTCTAAAGTAGTTCAGTTTTTATTTCTCATTTGATATTAGCAGCACAATGATGTTCCTAAGGTGTATTTTTGCAGCCCTATTCCTAGGAGATCATATCGTACCTTTGGAAAGTTACCGAGAATTCAATATATGCTCTAACACACCCAAAGCTTCCCCATCCTGCCCACAGCCACTCTGAGAACATGAAAGCCGTCTGACTTTGAGAACAGACATGGAACCACCTAGTCAGATGAGTCAGGTTAATCAAGTAGCTAGTCAGAAAGTGTTCACCGGGCTTCCGGGACCTAGGCAGAGGAGTCCAGCAGAGTCAAACCTGCTCCTTGCCTTCCGAGAATGCACGCTGTGTCTGAGGAGACAAAGCAGAGAACCAAGAACTCCAGCCCAGTATAAGAAGTTGCTCTCACACAGGTTTAAAGGAGAGTCTGAGAAGTTTACTGTGTACCCAGCACTGGGGGCTTAGAGGGTGGACACACGCTGGCAGGTTGCCAGATACTTAGGGATCTCCATGAAAACCCACTGTCTTCCAGGCAATGCTAACTCCCGGGGAGCCCCTAGGATACAGTAGAAGTGCGCTATAGGGTTTGGGCAGCCGCAATCTTTTAGAGAAGCAGCCAGCCATGGGACAACTGGTGGGTTTGAAGCACCAGCTTTTAGATTGGCAGCCGAGCCCTTGACCACTGTACCACCCGCGATCCTGAAAGGAAACTGACCGACTCAGTGCCCACCTTCAGACCAGTGGAGGAAACAGCTCCTGGGAACCACGAGAACCACGGAAATACACAGGCTGTCTCTGGAAAGACCCACAAGTGAGAGCGGAATCTGTCACCCCAGAAGGAAGAGCTAAGGATCAGGGGACTGGGAGCAGGAAGGTAACTCTCCTTCCCTGGCATCCTGTGTTTCCTGTGTGCATTTTAAATAGGAGTATTGCATGAGTTAACTTTTTTTTTTAATGGAGTTTAGAAAAATAGCCACACCAATAAATATACTATTCAGAACGGCGGTGAACGACTCGAAGGAAAAGTGCTCTGAGAAAGGATAACAAAAGGAATTACTTTCAACTGGGAAATCAGTAAAGGGCTCTTTATGAGAAGTCCAGGGACGCCGAGAGCATCGGTTTAGATTTCGAGCAAGGAAAATCAGCCCTCGTCAAGAAGCGCTTTGCACGGATGCTTGCTCAGAGTTCTCCATGTAACACAGGGAGCAGGGAAGAAATGCTATGCTCTGGTCTGGTCTGGAAGGCAGAAGCAAAGTGCTGTGGGAAGGGAAATTAACAGCCTCTATCTAGGTCCTAGGTAGAGTGGTTCTCAACTTGGGGCTTGCAACCCCTTTGGGGTTTGAACGACCCTTCTTCTTTTTTTTTTTTTTTCCGAACGACCCTTTCACAGGGGTTGCCTAAGACCATACACTTCTACTCTGTCCCATAAAGTCACTATGCATGGGCATTGAACTCAATGGCGGTGAGGTTGGCTTTTTGGCTTTACCTAGGAGAAGCTGTAGCACTTGAGGCTTTATTGGCTCTATCCATTCCAACCTTTCTTCATTCGCTTCTGGGAGGATAACGCCGAACCTTTGTTTTCAAGGGTTGTGTAAATGACAGACAAGACAAAAAGTCCCTTTTATTAGTTTTTCCCCCTGAAATTAAACTTAATTTGTTTAATTATGTTTCATAGATTCTGAAGTCATCCCCCCACCTGCCCCCTGTATTTCTGATACCATTCTTATTTCCCTCTACAGTGAACCCTCGTTTATCGTGGTTAATCGGTTCTAGACCCTACCGTGATAAATGAAATTCCACGAAGTAGGATTCCTTATTTGTAAATCAAATATTTTCGTAGTTAGAGCATAGAGGACATGAAAAAACACCCTTTAGTCACCATTA